AAGCAGAGAAACCTCTAAAACCTGCAGGACAGGGGGCCTTGAGGACAGAGTTTGGGGATACCTGCTCTAATCAATGTCAACATCAGTTATTGTCTCTGTATCAGTTTTAGGTTTTGTTTTCTGATCTTTTAACAATCTAACAGACTTACCATTCAATACATGTCAAAATCATATACTAGAGCCAATAGTAACCCAACATTAAGATTAGCTCTAGTATGGGAAGCCATTTATAAAGATACACAGAACCTGACAGCAGTATTCTGGGTTATTTAGTAAGGTGTATTTGAAAATTGAACAAACTTATTTTCTGTTATGACAGACCAAACAACCTAAAATATGTTGTTTGATTTAATGCGGAGGTCTTCGACAGGGGGTCCGCAGAGGTTTTGGTTGATTAGACTTTTTTTCCCACTGATTGAAATTGAAATGTCTTTAAATATATATTAACATGAAATCAACACACTGTAGTAAACAGATAAATGGAGGCAGATGTCTTTCAGTCATCAATGCACACATTCAGGCACCGTTTCATTCACAACACCTGTCCCATCAACCAGGAATCAGATTCAGAAATACTTTAATAATCCCAGGGAGAAATTACTTTCATTACATTACTCTATAATAGAGTGACTATAGGACCAGTCTAATATAAGACAATTTCATACAATATATATAATTAGGGGGTCCCAGCTTCATCTCACCATCAGTTTCAGGTCCTTGGCCTGGAAAGCGTTGAATAAATTTATTGTAAAACTTAAAAAAGGACTACATAATCCTAAAATCTAATTAAACTTTAAAACTGGTTAAGATGTGTCAGGATGTNTAAAAAAGGACTACATAATCCTAAAATCTAATTAAACTTTAAAACTGGTTAAGATGTGTCAGGATGTGAACATTTATTCTGAAGTTTCCGTGTGCTAAAAGTCTAATTATTGGACTGATTACTACTTTTACACCCAGAGCTGCTAGAAAACCAGACAATTAGCCACTGCAGGAACCACAGCAAAGAGGTCTGAAGGACGCTGTAGAGACAGCAATGCTGCCAATGCACTAAAATTAGCCTCAGATTGTTTTGCTGGGTCTGATTCATCATCTCTACTATGTTCCTGCATGAATAAATCTGATTCGTATAAAATCCCACCATCTCTAGTTTAACCTTAAAGGTCTGAAATGTGTTCAGGTATCAAAGAATGAATCTGTAAAGTCTAAGGGAAGAGCAGGGCTGGCTGACCCTTTTTTAGCTCAAGGATCTCAGAGTGAAAGGAGCTTAAAATGGGCTCTGGCCTGATGACCTTGCTTGGAAATAAAAAGGCTGATAACATTGTGAGAAATGCCGCCGTTCGTTTGGACCGACTGCAGGATTGCAACAGTTTAGCTTTGCCTCTAAAAGCTAAATCTATTTAGGTGAAAAAGAAGAAAAAAAGGAAGAGGAGAAACAAGAAAAAAACAGGTCATCTGGGTCAAAGCAATTCTTTTAAACTTGATGGCAGCAATAAAAAATAAGAGTTCGCCTGGCAACCAAGGAGTCTGTTTAGTTTCCTGAAATGCAGACACACTGAAAAAAAAAAAGTGTTTGTAGCAGCTTGGAAAAAATAATGGGATCGTTTGCAGCAGCGTGCATTATTAGTCTCCTCTTACAGTCTGTTGATATGGGGGTGGGGGATTTTAAGGGTGAAGGGGGCAGAGGTGTTGTATTTTTATATAGCATGTGGTCTGCTGCGTGCCTGGCAGCCACAAAGAGGGACTGGCCTTTCATAGACAACAGCCCTCCAGCTTGTTAAACAACAAATAAATCAGATCAACGGCTTAGATTTCTATGGATCCAATGAGTGAAAACTCCTCCAAAAGCCTCACAGCGGAGATCAACTTGGAGAAGCTGCAAAAGATAGCGGCAGAGCTGATTCTCCCCGGCAGATTCCTCCTCAGGCCTCTGAATGCTGTTCTGGAGTTCATCAGCAGCCTCCTGGCCTGGATCTTAGGATGCAGCCTGGTCCGAAGGCACTTCCACCTCCTGCTGTCAGGACTGGTCCTCTTTGGACCTCTGCTGAGTTTCTGGGTTTCCAAATACAGCATCTTCGCTAACGGCAACCACTACCTGTACAGGTGAGAGGGATTTATGTAGACTGAACATGAAAGGCAACTGGAAGGTCAGAGCATGCATTAGGTTTGAGGAAATGGATTGCAATTGAAAATAAATAAATAAATGATGAGGATTTATTAATGGAAAGGAATAATTTGCATATTGAGCTCTTATCTGTATTAAAATTGATTGGTTTCATATGAAGGACCTGGCTTTTAAGCTTAGTAATGGAGTTGGGTATGTTTTTAGAATAATGAAAGGAAAAGTAGACACTTTTTTAGACACTTCTCAGGAAAACTCTGCTCAGATTGTCCTGAAAAGAGGAAATGATAACAGGAAGCATAGAAAATAACAGGCTGCTCAAGTGAAATGATCCAGGATAACACGAAATGAGAACCAAAAAAACAGAATTATATGAAAAAAAGAAAAGAAAAACGAGCATTCTGTGGGTCATAAAACTGCTAATATTCTCCAACACTCAAATTACCAAGGCAGGAGAGGTTACAGTGTACCAAGTAACACATCTAATAACCTGAAGAGAACATGTGCAGCACTTGGTGGACTGACAGACACAATGTAGATCTTTTTGGGTCATGAATGCTCGTTCACCTCGGATCATCCAGCAACAGAATAAAATAGACACAAACATAAGAAAAAGGGGTTTCCTCTAGACTCAGGCTGGAAACTCTGGGTTATCGGGTTCATAATTGCTGCCAGTGAGTTAGTTTCATCAGCTCTGATGAGCCCTGATTTGACAAGTCACCATGACAACAGGAAACAGGAAGTGTCAATTTTACCCCACTGAAACTAGAGATTTTAATGCAGAAATAAAAATAAAAAAAGTATAATGTGTTTAAAACAGGGCTACAGCTGCAGAGGAGTGGAAGATGGCGTAGGAGAAGATTGCAGCTCGAGTTAAGTTTGTATGAATTGGAGCCTCTATGGCATGCAGTTTTGACATTTATTAAAAGACCACTTAAAAATGTTTTTTATTTTCTGGTCAAAATAACATTTCTAGTCAAACCATAGGTGGGTACCAACTAGTTATATTTATTCAGTTACATTTACTTGAGTAAAAAAAAAGAAATAATATATATATATATATATATATATATATATATATTTTATGCCTTTACTTAAGTAAAGATATGATAAATTATCACTACCTTACTTCCAAAAAACAAAAATAAGTAATTTCTTGAAATAAGCATGTTTGTCCTTCAACTGAGCATGTAAATAAGATGTTATGCCAAAGAAATTCATATTTGTAAGCTAATTAGATAATATTCATATGAAATAAGATAATGGTGTGTGTTATTTTAAAATCATCTTATTTTGTCAGTAAATTGTCTTGCCAACCTGTTTAAATCAAACAAAGACAAAATTAAATTTTTTAATTATTGTTGCCATGTCCAACCTTTAACTGTGACTTTCAGCTTCACCTACAATAGTTCATCCTAACAGCTGCAGATTTCATTCGGGCTAAAAGATGATTTTAGTTCAGGAGCTGCTTCCTTGACCCCTTTCACAGTTAAAAGTTAGGGTTAGGTGAAATGAAAGTGAAAGAAGTGAAATGTTCCTCATTGGGGACAGAAATTAATAGTTTATACCTAAACCTCCTGGACATGAAGGGGTGAACCATCATGTAAATATGTTTGAGGTCTCTTTATAATCTTGTGTGGATTATATAAATCCCATAAAACAATCAAACCTGAGAACTCAATTATCACTTTTAAAATTCATTTTAACTTCCTACCAACAATAATTACATTAAGAAAACTCAGTCAAACTTCCCACTGCTCATATAAAATTGCTTAATGATCTCGGTTTGGTGCTGAATCAGGTTTTTTAGATCGAACCAAAACAGATTTTTCTTTTAAAATCAACCCATTGATTTTTTTCAGGGTTTTGATCGATACCTTCTCCCCTAACGGTTCTGGTTCACCTCCCTCTTACAGGAAGTTCCTCAGGTCTACCTGGGGTTGGACCTTCGTCCTCACAGGCTCCTTCGTCGTGCTCCTCTCCTTCTCGGCCTGCCGCTCCATCTCCCTCACCCTTCGCCACCTCTCTCGGATGGCGCTCTCGGGCGTGCTGTGGTGGGGCTGTCGGCGCCTTGTGACCCTGCTGGAGGACGCGGCCGGGGCCTGCTACGAACCTCTGGCCCCTGTGCAGGACGGCCAGAGCTCCTCCACCCCCGCTCAGCCTCTGCTGCTCCTACATGAGGATCAAACCAAGGCCTCCTGCCTCAAAGCCAACATGACGTGGAGAGGCTATGAGGTTTCCCAGGAAACGCTCATCCTCTGCCTGTGCTGCCTGCTGATTGTGGAGGAGCTCTCCGTCTTTGGTCGTCACCTGGAACACGAGAAGCGTCTTCACAGGCCTCCTAGCGCTCCCCTGAGAGTCCTCTTCCTCCTGTGTGTGCTTCTGCTCTTTATCTGGATGGTCTTGCTTCTGTGCATGCTTGCATACTTCCCTGCATGGCCTTCTCAGCAGCTGGGAGGAGCTCTGGGCTACCTGGGGTGGAGGGGCCTTTATCAGGGATGGTACCGCCTGGCACCCAGTCACTGGTCCCCCGGTTTACCAGGAGACGGCCTTTTTAGCAGCACAGACTCTGATAAACACTCAAACTAGTTTAAGGGTTTTAAAATTAAACACAGCAGACTACGGAGATTCTTGTTGCTTTATTTTTGTAATCTGAAACAAAATGCATGCATCACTTGGAGAGAACAAGCTAATTTCTGTCAGGACATGTATTTTGGAACTTAATCAGTGTTATACAACAGTAGCAGTCGCTTGTTTTAAGATAAAAAAAAAAAGAAGCAAGTCGCCCGCCTCAGTAGATGAGAGCCTTCCCGTCTCCTCTGGGCTTTTTAATCTTGTCATAGTTCTTGTTAATGATGTCAAACAGCACCGCCTGCAGAGAGAGAGAGAAAGAATCGACATAACAGGATGAAATCACCCAGACATGAGACACAAGGAGCTGTGGTCAGGTCCAACAGTCCCTTTTATCACAGCCTCCTTTATCACCAGCATCAAACGCAGGAAGACAATGACCGAGGGGACGAGAAGCAAGGGTTAATGGACAGAACATGGAGGACTCATTAATCCAGCACGAGCGCAGCAATTAGTTTAATTGCCTCGCTATTAACAACAAATGGAAACCACTTCACCGCCGTCTCTCTGCTTGGACGCCATTTACATGCTGGACATCCCGTCCAAAACACAGCAGCTGGTGCTTCCTGTCTAATACATGTGATTTACAGCGTCCACTCAGCCTTTTTTAATCACACCGATAAGGTGGGGGGGTCTTACGTATGTGTAGCGGATGTCCAAGACCACCAGACGAAGCTCGGTGTACTGATACTGGTCCAGTTCATGTACCAGCTGTCTGTAGTCTCCCTGCAGCACAAAGAGGCGGTCAGGTTAGAATAAAAAAAGAAGAAAACAGTTGTGCATGCAGATGGAAGGGGTGCTGAAACAAAGCCTGATTTACAGCCATGTTCAGACATCTGAGGTAACAAAAAAAAAAAATGAATCTGAAAGGTGTTTTGTTTTATGGTATATTGTTTAAAGGTCAGCGTCTCTCAATCATCAACACCTTTTCCTGTTCGTTTGTCCCGTCAACGCATTCTTCCACCTGCAGCTCCCTGTTCCCTGCTCTTAATGTCCCGCCTGTCAGTTAAGCTGTAACTTTGCTTTAATATCTTCAACGTTCCTCCTGACCCGCCTGCTGTGTTCTCTGCTCCTCATGGTGCTGCTCAGAGGACTTCACAGAAAAATTGGATTCATGAGTAAGGGAGTAGATCAATGGGAAATCCACACCACGCTTTACAGATTTGTTAAAAAAAATAAATACAAAAGTTAAAACTACATATTTTCCAGTCATTTCTATCACATTTGGTCCTAAGGAAACAATAGGGTTTCTGGTTGGAACATGAAAGGATAGAAAACAAATCATGTGCTACTCTTAAAACCTTAATGATGCAGATAAACAGATACTGACCACATGGGGCTGTTTGGAGGCCTTGGCCACAGCATCGCCTCTCTCACTGTAATACCTGCCACAGCAAAGAACAGAGGATAATAAACTTTTACTCTTAAAAAAACAACAAAACATCTCTGATCTACATTTTGAGTGCAACATCTGCTTAACACAGAAGACTTCTATTTTGTATTATTTTCTACAACAACAGCTTTACGCTCCACTGGAGCTTATTTTTTAGTAGGTAAATTAGATAGTTTGCTAATGGAATTAGTATTTTTGCTCATAATTAGATAATATGCACTTGAAATAAGACAATGCAATTGTATCTACTTATTTTAAGTGTAAATAATCCTGTTGGGTTGACAAAATTTCTCTTTTTCCTCCTCAATTCAAGAACAAATGCACTTATTTTAAGAAAAAAAAAAAGACTTAAAGACACTTAAAGTGTCGAATCTCTGCTTTCAGAAGTGTAAGCGCTGCTAGTTACAAGAACCAGAATGCGCTTTATTAGCTCGCTTCATATAAACATATCAGGAAACTGACTTTGGACTGTGCAGCATTAAGATTGTGCTTATGAATTCAATAAAAAAAAAATAAAAAAAAGATTGTAGGGTTTAAAAAAAGTTTAATATTTAAAAACAGCTAAAAAGTTTAGAATGCTGCAGCATTTCCTGCATTTTTCACCAGCCGTACACAGGATGGACTAATTCACTCATCTCTTATTACAGAGAAACTGTTTCTAAACTACAGATATGAGGATTTAGTAGCAGTCTTTAATAATTAAACAAGTATTGGCTTATGGAGGGAGAAGAGTGCCACAATACATTAAATAATTAACTTATGAAATAATTATTTAAAGGTGCCGTACGACATTTTGGAAAAACGGTTCAAGCAAACTATATTTTAGTAAATACACAACCATGCCTCTCCCTTCAGACCACCCCTCGATACCATGCCTTCAAAATACATGACCGCACAAGCTGTCTGTCGAGGTGTTCGGATCAGATCGAGAACGAAACAAGCAGAGACCGAGTGCTCGTGACACGAGCTAACAAAAGCATAATGCTACGTTCACACCTAAAGCAGCAGAGGCAGCAAAAGCAGCTAGTTTACATGCAAAGTCAATGGTTGATGCGCAACACGGTGCAGCAAAAGGTCCCGCAGCTCATCTAGAGCAGCAGGAGCAGCGCGTCTCTGATCTGGGAACTGGCAGGGAGACAGGCAGCACTGATGATGCAGAGCGCCATGCTCACTCCTGTGAAACAGTCGAAATCTGCCGGCAAAATGTTCGCTTTTATCATCCTGGTGCCTGAAGTTTGGATTACGTACATGAAAACCGCCTTCCAGCCGCCGCGGCAAACTGCGAAGAGGCGATCAGGCCGCTGCTGAATGGGATTCCTAGTGACAACGCACCGCTGATGTACGGGGGTCTGATTTGAAGGCAGGATTGTAATCTGGATGAACTGACTGCACTGACCATGTTTTCAGGTGGACTTTCTCACTTCAAAATAAATTCAAACTACTTTTTACTCACTGATCACAGTAAATATAGCTGCCATTGTTACAGGCAAAGAAAGGATAGGGTAGCTCCGCCCACCGCACAGCTAGAGTAACAGAGATGCTTCAGCCGCGCATCAGAACTAAACTTGTACAAGCATAAAAAATGAAGCAGGACGCAATTTTTTCTTTTTTCTTTTTTGCTGCTCTTGTGAACGTAGCATAACAGTGGCTAGCTTCCAGCCATGTCCTGCACGAGCAGGACGCCACAAGGTCGATTCATTCATGTGTAAGGGTACACGCACAGGGGGGAGGGAGAAGACGACCATGATTGACGTGTCAGGAACCAATCGTGAACCACGGACCGCGTTTTGTGATTGGTGGACGTTACTCATTTAATTCTTACTGTAGCGGGGAGCATTTATTTTAGTTTCACTTCCAGACCTTCTCTTTCACTGCTTGCTGTGCGGCTGTGGGGAGATCTCTAAGCCACATGGTAAAAAAAATGTGTCAGAAAAGATCTCCTACTGCACATTTAATGTAAATTCATTTATAAAACTGAAAATAAGTATAGTTTATTTTCTGAATATATAATTACTCAAATTACTATATTAATTAAATTTGACGAAGTGAATCAATTATTATTTTATGTTCCTGTACTAAAGTGCTCCATGAGTTAATTTTAACTCTCACCCATTCATCATAGTGGGGGAGGCGGGACTAGGGCTGCTTCAGTTTGAATGGAAGTTGTAAGTTTGATGGGTGAAGTTGACAGTTAAAATAAGGTCATGAGCTACTGTGCAGAAGGATTAAAGAGATACCAAAATAAAATGCAAATGTTATTACATTTATATTTAAAAATAGCTAATGTCATAATTTAATAGATACATTTCTTAACAAGTGATTTTAATATTTAACAATTTATAAATAAATGGTACATTGAATTATTTAATGATATATCTATTTCATTAAACATTTACCCCTGTTTGTTTAATGCTGTATTAATTTAATTTTGTTCCCGTTAATCCTCCATACTAGCTTACTTTATCTAAATTCACCATTAAAAACTATGATAGGAAAAAAGGTCTAATATTCCATAAAATAAGACCTAAAAATTATTTATAATACTGAATGCAGCAGGTATTTATTTAGGTTTAAACAGTTCTACAATTAGAAGTTGGTATGTTTACCTTAGTTTTAGTTTTGGACTGTTATCTATTCAGCTATAATTTTTATTTTATACATTTGCTGAAGATTATATATCAAAATTAAAACAAAAGTAGTCTGAATACTCTTTTATAAAGTTGGCTATAGAGCATCAAACTGAGGCACTTCTATTTTAATCATGTTTATATCTGTGGATTTACAAACCTGAGTGTTTCTAAATGAAAGCTGAGGAAACAGAAATGCATCTAATTAGACACAGACAGAGTTCTTGTTGTGGTTTCTGTGCTTCGTCTGAAACGATAGCAGCTCCACACACGGAACTGACAGGAAAGAAAAAGCCCAGAGACAGAAAAGATCACATGGGATTCTTCTGATCACATGCCAAAACTAAAACCCGCCACACAGCTGGAGCTTACTTAGAAATCTGGGTCTGGAAGGCCTCGATCTTGGTGCGTGTGTTGGTCAGCAGCTCAAACACTTTCTCCTGTTAGACCAGATTTAACGTTTAAAACTCAGCGTCCACAGAACAAACCTACTTTAAGGTAAGATGGTGACTTCACCTTTCCATCATTAGTTACCAACCTGTACAGCCACTCCAAAGTTGTTACCATCCTCGATTCTGGGAATCTGAAGTTGGACCCACATGGAAACCTGACAGGGAAAGACAAATATGTCAAATCCCACCATAGGGCATCAATTAACACTTAAATATCATATAAAACATAGAAGGCAGCCACATAGTAAAGCTGTAAGAATAAAGGAAAAACAGACTGACTGTGTTCAGCTTCTCCTTCAGGGTCTGGATCTCAGGTTTGACCTCATTCAAAAGACTCTCCACTCTCTCGTTGCTGCAGATGGGACCACAAGGAGGCCCTGAGGGGCAGACGACCATTGAAGACTTAGAATTACACAGCTAACCTTTAGTGAAGCTACAATAGAGCCACCCATTCTCATCTCTTCATAACCTCAACCAGCAGTAAGCAGAGTCTTGGAAAAGTACCCATTTCCCCTTCACCACTTCCCTTCCAGTGGTCACGGTGATAAAATACACTCCTGATGTGCGTGATAAATCACTATTATCCGCTGCTTGTGGAGGAGCAGAACAAGAAGGTAATAACTAGATAATAAGTCACACTTCACTCTGAACACGTCAGAATCTGTTTGAGGCAGCATCATGCTGAGGGAATGCTCTTCCTTACTGACAGACAAGGAAGCTGGAGAAGTTAAATGCAACCAAATCTATGCTGGCAAATGGTCAGTCGGTGTCTGAGGTTGTGCAGTTTAATTTGAACACCATCTTGGTCTGTTTACACCCATGAAATAGAGTGAAAGCTGCAGCTGTGATATGAAAGAACATCTGAAATGGTTTGTTGGTTATGAACACTGAAACTGATAAAGCAGTGTTTTTTTTTCCTCTTGGGTTCCCGTTTACCTGATTCCTCCTCTTCCTTCTCCTTCTCGCCTTCCTTGTCCTTCTTCCCCTCCTTTGCTTCCTTCTGCAGCACAAGAAAATAAAGCCTCTTGTCAAATCTTTTTTTAATGGTGTGCTTACTCTTTTGTGGCTACTGAGCTAAATAAACTAGAGATACAGACAATATTTGTAGTACCTTTCATTTTTATTCACATATTTTAAGTAATGAAGACATCAGGTATGCTATTAGAAACTATTTTGATATTCCTGATGGAATGCAATATTCATTACAATCAGTGATGCTAATATTAGGAAGGCTTTTTTCTTTTTTTTTTGACGATCTTGATTGCTTCTGCCAAGACTTTAAAATGCCAAATTAAATGATGAAGAGGCATTATGCATCATCTAAAATAAAAAGCCCACACATCTTTTGAGAGGTTTTACACTGATTAGTTTCCATGGTAATCAAGGACTCCTTTTAAAGCTAAAGAAAAAGTGTGGAAGATTTCAATCAGAAAGTTATATTCCAAAGATGTTTAAGGGTGAGATACATTTAACAAAAAAAGTATTGAATATAGGGGATTTCAGCCAGCCTGCTTTTTTGTTGAATCAATTATTTTGGTTCTGATTATCAGCTGGAGGGTAAGGACTGACCTCCTCCTTCTTCTTGCGTTTGGCCTCCTCCTTTGCAGGATCTGGTATTGGGATGTCCAGAGGAGCCTTCAGGGATGCAAGGTCATCACAGCTAAAAGATGTCTGAAAAAAAAAATAGATATAGTGAAAAATAAAATAAACAACAACAGCAACAAAAAA